AATGTACACTCACACTCACACTCACACACTTACACACATGTTTAAGCATTCCTGGCAACTGATTTAGGGTGGTTTCTTTTTAATCAGGTAGGTACGGTCCTCCTCAGTTGTGCCTTCTTGTATGACATCTTTTGGGTGTTTGTTTCTAAGAAGTTGTTCCATGAAAGCGTGATGATTGTGGTAAGTGATTCTATTAAGTTTCTCTACTTGCTATGTTTAATATATACATACATATGTAATTATGGATTGGTTGGTTGTTCAAGGCTTTTTAAACACTCGAGAGATGTCTAATGGCTTTGTCTCCTTTTACAGGTAGCCCGTGGTGACAGAAGTGGAGAGGATGGTATTCCAATGCTACTAAAGATCCCACGCATGTTCGACCCTTGGGGTGGTTTCAGCATCATAGGATTCGGTGACATCCTATTACCGGGCCTGCTTGTGGCATTCTCGCTCAGGTTTAAGCTCTGCAGCCTATCCCAGTTTGCAAAAAAGACTTGTTCTTGGCATTTCTCCATACATCAAATTTTTGGTGTTGTTTATATGAACAGAAATAGATAAAATGAAGCATTGTTAATGGTTTTTGCAGGTATGATTGGTTGGCAAATAAGACACTTAGGGCTGGATACTTCTTATGGGCAATGATGGCTTATGGATTGGGTAAGAAATAATAAACAGATGATTTTGTCATCAGCTACTGTATCAGATTTCTTAGATGTGTTTTCCCAGAAAGACACATGATTTTTCAAATTCTGTGCAGGTCTTCTCATCACATATGTGGCATTAAACTTGATGGATGGGCATGGCCAACCGGCACTGCTTTACATCGTTCCATTCACACTTGGTAAATCCCTTTCTTTCTTCTTCACCAAAATCTTAGTCCAACTTCACCCTGTCCTTTAATCGAATGAATAAAAAATCCCAAGGGCACTGCACATGCGATAATTTCCGCCTCAGCAAGCAATCAGGAACCGTAGTGGGATACTTCTAGATGTTTGCTTTTGGATAATATTGGGATGCTAGAACTAAACTGATTAAAATTTACGCTTAAATGCAGGAACTTTTCTGACATTAGGGAAGAAGAGAGGTGACTTACAGATTCTGTGGTGTAAAGGAGAACCAGAAAGGCCCTGCTCACATATCAAACTCGAAGAGAGTCAAGAATTGGACGAAACGAAGTAAGACAGCTTGTTAAGTTAAAAAATAGAAAAAGTAAGAGCCTGTTCTTGTATGATATTTGTAGTGTTGGCATTTTATAATCATTAGAAATCTGGTAATGAACTCTCAAGAGCTTCCCTTAACATGTTAGTCTTTGTATGTAAGCTTATTGCCCCTTAAATTGAACGAGGGATCTCTCTTAATTAAAATAGCGTTCATTTTGCATCGTCCGCTGTCACAAGTAGAAAATTTTGTACAATTTTATCTGCATAAGCAACCATTTATGTTACTAAATCATAAAGCTCTTGGTTTTTTTTTGTCACCCTTTTTGGTTGTTGAAAATAGCCCCATTAATGTAAAGTTGCAATTATAATATGGCAATATCACGTTCTCCATAACTGATATTAAAAAAAGCACACGTATCTGAAGTCCCAAAAACATCCCAATAGTGCCTATCATTTTTATGACACAGCGATTTTTAAGAGGGATTGAACTCGGTGTAAGGAGGCAGGCACACTGCCTTGACCAACTGATGTAATCCACATGTGCCTATAGCTGAAGAAACACTTTGTTTTGGGCTAGTCAACTTTGCACCAGAGCTGCAAGTCAATAATCATAGCCCACAAAAAGGGGCTGATAATTATGACTTTTTTGAGGTCCAAGCCCATGGAGAGTCATCATAAGGCCTATAACACACCTAAGAAAGCAGGCTAATGAGGGGCCTGCATTGAAAGCCTGGATTAATTCTTATGTTTAAGGTCAGGGCTGGAGATAGAACAACTAGCTCAATTATAGTATTTCTATTTCTAATATTGAAAAATGTCTTAAGTTCGAATTTCTCTCTCTCGAGAGAGAGAGAGAGAGAGAGAGAGAGAGAGAGGAGAGAGAGAGAGAGAGAGAATGAGAGAGTGGTGGCTGGCATGAGGAGAGAAAGGGGTAAACTCAAATTTGTGTGTCTAGAGATCTTTTTGAGTGTCTATACAATCACCCTACATCACCGAAGCATGACTAACAAGCCAATTTTGTTGGAAATATCACTTCCACTTTTCTTCTTATGATATTGGCCCAATATAAAACATCAAACAAAAATTGTTTGTTTGGATGCCATTCAAATCACCTCTACAGAAAAAATCGATTGTCAAGTGTTGCTTTCAATTTCAATGACATTTCCGGAAGCTATCCAACAAGAATATTATCCGAATATTATGTCCAAAACACAACACAAGCTTCTCAATTAATCTTCTGTATAAAAAATAAAAAAACTCAAAGATACCTAATTGAAATGCAATACGTGAATGACATCTGTTTGTTTGTAATAGCATATAACAAAATTCAATATCCCTTGAAAAATCTGAAGACAAAATAGAGAGAGAGAGAGAGAGAGATTTCAATAAGGCCATGATTATCAATACAAGAAAGAGCCACAAACCCACAACCAAAGTGGTAAAAAAATTCAAAAATGGGAAGCCTTGGATTCCACTTAACTTATTATTATTATTTTTTGGTTCCTTGGCTTACAATTGGTTTTGGGCGAAAGTGGGAGGAGCCATTTTAGTGACCCTAGGTTGATGGGTAGAAAAATACAAAAGATATACATCTCTCCAGATTGTGCCAAGCCAACTAAAACATCTTTTTTCTCCCTTTTTTTCTTTATGGTTTTTTGGGATACAGAGGACACTTTTTCTGTTTTTATAGTTTTCAATGTCATTACATGGTTGGCATGGGGCCGCCTAAGGCTGCAACTTGCATGTGAGTTGGGGGCAGAAGAAGACCAAGAACAGAAGGCATCCCATGAGTGTGAGTTGTCCCCCATAACTCGGCTACTGCTTCTTCCATTTTCTTTATTTTAGGTAGAGTGCAACAAATAAGAAGATTACATTTCACAATGACAAGGTTTGGGACCATAAAAGAGGAGGGAAAATGAGGGGCATGCTATCTCACACCCATCGTTAGCAAATCATGTTAGGTATTGGAAATTATTAAACAAAGATTACACATAATTAAATATGGGAATTGTTAATGTGTTAGGTTATTTCAATTGGTTAGAACAGTGTGCATGCTTATTTGTATTTGAGTTTGAATATTCCTTCACATAATTTGAAATTGTTTGAGAATTGTTTGACTTCCTGCATTATTTATTTTCATTAGAGAGAAGTGCCATAATTATTTTGAAGTGCCAATAGCGGCTCCCTTAAACACAAGTTTAATGTTGTTTGCTAGATAATCTGATATGTTAATTGTCATTTTACGAGTAATTTTTTAATATGATCGTAACATTAAGCGGATATAAATAATTTTTAGAATAAACATATATGTGTTATAATTTAAATGAATTGATAACACCGTGTCAGCACATAATCCGACATACAAAACTTTATAATAAATCACACTTTCATACACAAATTTGCCAAGTTGATATAGCATGCTAGACAATCCGTAAAACTCGAGCAGAGTTAAAATCAAACCATGGTTTTGTTTGTGGGCTCGTAGCTGTGGACATGACCCCTGTCCTTGTAGGGCGACATAGATGCTGTATAGTAAACAGTAAAATCCGTGGATTGGTCCATGTCATCGTATATGATATGACGTTGGCGTCCACGTGCTTACAAAAGGGTTGTCAGTTTCTTAACGGTCACAACAAAAAAACGGCCAATTTTTCTCAGCCATACGATCTCCCGCCCGTTGTACTCTAATCTTCTGTGGCTCTGGTTTTCGTGCCGTTGAGAAACTATTACAACAACTCGCCATTCAGCAAAAAACAAGATTAAAAAGTCAAGAACTTGAAAGTGAAAAAAGAGTCCGTAAATGACTGAACCGAACAGTAATTATAAGCTTTTCACCCCCATGAAATTCAGTAATTGGAAAAATCACTTTTGGGTTAAGTTTTTATGACTATTTATAAGCTTTTTCCTCTTCAGTAATCCACTCTCGTACATTTTGCAATATGGAACGCATACATTTATTTATATTTACCACATAAACACTCTAATTTAAGAAAAGAAATTATATATCACGAGAATAACATTATTTTACTATTCTCATACAATCACATTCTGTTATGTAAAATCCTTATCATACTTTGCACAACGTAATTAATTGGGAATAACTTCGTGACGTGACATGTAAGTTTTTCTCCCCACTTAAATTTTGCATGAAGCCCTAAATCCGGCAAGAGAGAGAGAAAAAAAGGACCACTCTTCTCCAAACCCCAAAAAGAAGAAAGAAAAGAAAAAGTAGGGAGTTGTTTAATGATGATGAGAAAATTGGACCACAATATTTTAAAAATCAAATTCCATGTACACAATCTTTAATTTCGGTTAGGTGCTTAGGTGTATGAATCAGATGAACATACCAGAACAGCTAGCCAAAAGCTTTACAAATTCGAAAAAGCAAGCACAAAAAAAAAATAAGGACAACTTCTGTAGAGGATAAGAACAACAAAAACAAATGAAGCAGAAAATGTCAGCATCCTTCTGCAAGTTCTGACCTTTCCAGAACCACCCCCAAAACTCTAATACCTTCTCCTTAATATTATTATAAGCATTTGCTTACAAAGTAATGACCTTTGTTTAGGGACTACCACACAAAAAAAGTTTTTTAATTATTTTATTTATAACAAATACTTAATTGAAAATAAATTAAAAAGAAAGACAACCCATTATTTCATTTGGCAAATAATAGACTGATAGACACCTCAGCTATAAAAGTTCCCCTTATCTTAGCCTCTCTGGCATTGCAGGAACTCACAAAACCCTTGCTTTGAGTGTGTAAAGAGAGCATCTTTGGTTTGCTTTTCAAACAGAGAGTGAAAGAGCTAGAGAAAGCTGGTTAGTGAGAGAGTGACTATGGAGGGCAAGGAAGAAGATGTTAGGCTTGGAGCTAACAAGTTCACAGAGAGGCAGCCTATTGGGACATCAGCTCAGACAGACAAGGACTACAAGGAGCCTCCACCAGCTCCATTGTTTGAGCCTGGTGAGCTCACTTCATGGTCTTTTTACAGAGCTGGAATTGCTGAGTTCATTGCCACCTTCTTGTTCCTCTACATCACCATCTTGACTGTGATGGGTGTGAACAGGGCTCCTAATAAGTGTGCCTCTGTTGGCATCCAAGGAATTGCTTGGGCTTTTGGTGGTGCCATCTTTGCCCTTGTCTACTCCACTGCTGGTATCTCAGGTTAGCTTCTCCTCCCTTTCCATCTCTTCAGCTTTCAAGTCTTTATTTACAATTGATAACTTCCACTAAAAGAAAAAAACACTTTTTCTTGGTGTATATTTCATGGGTTTCTTCAGAATTTATTTTTAGTGATTTTTAAAAATATTTTGGGTAGACTTTTGTGGGTGTTTCAACTATCTTTGATGTGGGCTTTCCTTGTTATCTTTGATTTTTCCTCTTAAAATTTGTTCTTCTATTTTAAACTATACTTTGCTTCCTTTAATGGTTACATTTTTGTGATAAAATTCTTTTGTAACCAGATCTGTGTGCTTGCATGTAACAGGTGGACACATCAACCCAGCTGTGACCTTTGGTCTCTTCCTGGCAAGGAAACTCTCCCTTACAAGAGCTGTTTTCTACATAGTCATGCAGACCCTCGGTGCTATTGCTGGTGCTGGTGTTGTGAAGGGCTTCGAAAAGAAACAATATGAGCTTTTGGGAGGTGGAGCCAATGTTGTTAACCATGGGTACACCAAGGGTGATGGCCTTGGGGCTGAGATTGTTGGTACTTTTGTCCTTGTTTACACTGTCTTCTCTGCCACTGATGCCAAGAGGAATGCCAGAGACTCTCATGTCCCTGTAAGTATTCTTTATTATTATTATCTCTGTTATATATTTTTGCAGCTTCTGATTGTTTAATTGTTTTGCTATTTTGACACTCATGTGTCCATTGAATGGGTTTAGCGATGATTGAGTGCTCCAAAGCTGGTTTATTTTTCATGGGCTGTTTATAAATTGGTTTCTGGTTTAGTTCTTTGAGCTGCTGCTGAATGTTTTTGGTTAATTTATAGTCTGTGTGGAAGAAATTGTTTTCTGATCTTCTAGTTTTTCTATTCTTTGCTCAAACCTATATATTTAATTGGGTATTTGTTACCATTGAAGCTGCCCAAATGGCTGAAAGGGGGACTGTAGAATTATCACTTCTCTAGTCCTTATTTTGTGAATGCTAGAAAATAATGACACTTGCATGTTGCTTTTGTTTGTTTGTGTCATTGGTGTGGGTGCCTTTAAGGTGGAAAAGGTTCTGTTGCGCCCAGAGGGTCTCACATGCGTGTGAGACCCACTGGTGTGTTTGGTGGATCAAATATGCATGTAAATGTGAAAGTGGGGACTTTATTATACCTCCCAGGACACTCCTCCCTTTTTTAAGGCAAAATATTATCCACCATTTACGAGTAAGACTCCCTAGTCCCTACCAACAAGAGATCATTTATGGGCTTGCTTATCTACTTTGTTTCGTCTCTCCATGGTTCCTTCTGCTCTACGGTACCTCTACCAAATGATCATCTTCAAACATTTGTTATATCCTAAGTCAAACTTAGCACTATGCTTTGAAGCTCAATGAATCAGAAAGGTCATTATTTGGACTGTGTTTTAACTTAGAATGTATATGTATCTGTGTATGCAGATTTTGGCTCCTCTTCCCATTGGGTTTGCAGTTTTCTTGGTTCACTTGGCCACCATCCCCATCACCGGAACTGGCATCAACCCTGCCAGGAGTCTTGGAGCTGCCATTATCTTCAACAAGGACCGCGCTTGGGATGACCAAGTAAGCGAATTAACTAAAACTAATTAAACATTTTTCTTTGAACTTTTGATTGTTTAATGAGAATATGAGATTTATGGTACCATGTTTCTGTTTACAGTGGATCTTCTGGGTGGGGCCATTCATTGGTGCTGCGCTTGCTGCTATCTACCACCAGATAGTCATCAGGGCCATTCCTTTCAAGTCCAGGGGCTAATTTTCTTCCCACTCTAGTGGTCACCCATCTCTGCACCCCGTGTCTTCTTCGTCTCCTTTTTCTTGGTGCTGTTCTTGAGAAAAATGTGTGTAAATTAAGTATGCAGTACTAGTACTTATGATGTATTCGAAGTTTTTGTGACATGTTTTGAATGGAGAATTCTTTTATGGGTTAGTTATATGCTGATGTGCCTTGTGTATTCTACGTTCTTCTGATGATTTGATTTAAAGTTGAGCATACCTTGATCAAGCAAGCGTCTTTGGCTCCTCCAGAGAAATGTATTTTGGCTAAATTGTGACTCTCTTTTTTCGTCAAAAGACATGAAATCGCAATTGTATATTATAGAAAATAATAATAATAAATAGGGTCATTGAAGAGTCGTCGTTGGATCCAATTGAAGAGTCGTCGTTAGATCCAATTGAAGAGCTCATATCTTGAAGAGCGCATAATGACTATGTAAAAGGGCTAGGATATATATACGCGAGGCAAATAAAGTCTAAAAGATAGCGTTATTACGAGTTCCTTTGAAGCATTAAATTCGTTCATAAAACTAAACCGGCATATAAAAATTGGAGCAATTTTGGTGGAGGCAATTGAAGAAAAAGAAAAAGAATATGCACAAATCTATTGCAAGACTGTTTCATATATTATTCAACTTGGCAAGTAAATCTATTTTTCAATTAGAAAAGTTAATATTTCTTAAACGGGTTATAAAGAAGACAATACTTGCCTTCTTACCCGTATTATCTTTTATTGTGGCTCGACCACAAAATGATATGTGTTCTCTGCTTTTAATTGTCAAAACAGTTTTTTTTTTTCTTTTCACTATTACTAGATCCCTGACTTTTTACCAAAACATCAACGCATAACCTCTTATCAAATCCTAATCATACACGCATATCCAACGGCTATCACGCTAGTGGGGGTCGATCGCTATCGTATTAATTTTGTGATTTAAATTAAACCCCGAGAATGTCATCACATCACATCACATCACATCACATGTTGGGTTTTGGAAATGCAGCTCTGTGAAATGTTGTTTATATTTTGGATTTGCAAAGTCTGATCAACAATCTTGAAAAATGTGGATATTTGGATGGAAAGGGCCATCTGGATTCTCAGCCCGCTCTACAGCTGAGGAAGTTACTCAAGGAATTGATGGAACTGGTCTCACAGCAATTGTTACAGGTCTTGTTATGCTAAATGATTCTTCTTTTTCATCTGGGTGTTTTTGTTCTTTGTTTCTGTATTGCCATGTGTGCTTTTTTCTTTTGTTGGTCAGTTCCTATAATTTCTTGTTGTGTCATATGTTTGTTTGATGAGAGAATTACAGAGAAAAGAAGAAAGAATGTTGCTTTAGTTGTCTTTTATGTTAAACTAACAATTGAGCAACCAAATGGAGTTTCTTTTGGCGGCCCATCTGAAGTTGGGTGTGTACGATCGTTTCTACTTCTTGTTTTCTTTCATGGGTAGTTGTTCAGTGTTTCATTGGTTGGTTGGTTGATTTTCTGATTGAAGCTGGCTAGTTTAGGATTAGTTGACTTGATGTTGAAAATGGAGTAAATGGAGTTGATCAAAGTTCTAGTCTAGTTTAAATCTTTTTTTAGTTTTGTAGGATTCTTTAGGATCGTTATGCTATGAAATCTAGTTCAGAGTCTTCCTGTGAACTTGTTGCCACAATTACAAAAATCATTCATCTGAAAATCCTGCCATTGAAATTCTGAATTGCTTTTTCGCTTGATAATTGGTGAAATTTGCAGATTTGGCCCTTTTCAAGTTCTTATACTTATTTAATTCCAGGAGCATCGAGTGGTCTGGGTCTGGAGACAACACGTGTTCTAGCCTTGCATTGTGTTCATGTCATCATGGCAGTAAGAAATACAGAGGCTGGTAGGGATGTGAGAACAGCAATACTTAAGGAAATCCCCACTGCCAACATCAATGTCATGGAACTAGATCTCAGCTCAATGGCATCAGTAAGAAAATTTGCATCGGAATATAACTCCTCTGGTCTTCCATTGAATATCCTGATGTAAGACATCTGAATTGGACCGTTGTAATTATTTATGTCACATTTGCTTGTGCTCATTTGAATCTCTCGTCTCTTGTTGCAAATGCATCAGTGGTTACATGTGCTTGCATGTGTTCGTGTGTGTTTGCATGCTCACTTGGTGTTGTATGATATCATTGTGACAATGGTTGTTATTGCTGCTTCATTCTTTATTTTGGAATGGTGTTTGGTCCCAAGAGTGGGAAAAGAAACAAGGAAAAACAATAAGTTCATATTTTAGTACAATGTTCTCCTATTGGTGTTATTATTAACATTACGGAGTTATAATTTATCCTCTCTGTTTGTTTGAAGTAATAATGCAGGGGTTATGGCAACTCCTTTCATGCTTTCCCAAGACAACATTGAACTGCAGTTTGCAACCAACCATTTAGGTATTTAAAACATGAAATTCTTTTGATGTTTCTCTTGAGAATTTGAAATGGCCTGTTATATGGTCTTTATAGAATTGGAATCTTAGAGTTCTTACCATTCTTTTACAGGCCATTTTCTTTTGACCAACCTTCTATTGGAGACCATGAAGAAGACATCAAGGGAGAGCAAAAAAGAGGGAAGAATCGTGAACTTATCATCAGAGGCTCACCGATTTGCATATAGTGAGGGGATTCGTTTTGATAAGATTAATGATGAATCAGGGTAATAGTTTGACAGGGTTATTTTATGAATTTTGTCACTCTGTGCTGCTGCAATAATGCAATAATATATGGTTTTATGGCTTGCAATGTATCAAATTTTGTCAATTAATACTTCTCTTTACTTATATTTTATTACTTGAAAATTCACAGATACAACAGTATATACGCTTATGGACAATCAAAGCTAGCCAACATATTGCATGCTAATGAGCTCACAAAGCACTTGAAGGTATCAACTCATATTGGATCATAAACATGATCGCCAGTGAATTTGATGATATAAATCATTTATCTGATTATATTTTTTCTTGGTCAATTGTAAGGAGTTCTCGACCTGCAACAGATAGAGGAAGACTTATTCAGTCACATAGTTTGGGCTCCTAGAATATGGAATCCTTAAATAATAGCGTAGATAAGACTTTTGGTTAAGCATTAATGTGTTAAGTTCCTGAGATAAATGTGACTTAAATGTTTTAGCATGTGCAGGCCCTTGGGCTTTGTTCATGTTTCTTTTGGTCAATAGAAGAGAAAAGAATGACAGTCTAATTTCAGTGTGCAAGTATTTTCTTTTTTCCGGAGATGCTTACATAATTTTGTCTCAAATGTTCATTGTAGTAGCAAATGTTCCATTTGGTTATTTTTACTATCTTCAAAAGAGAAACAGTTGAAAAGAGCAATAGGGCATAGAGTGTAGCTTTTACATCATTGGTGTTTTCAACATTCTTAAGCAGTCCGTCCTTCCAAGGCCATGCCATCATGGATGGGAAATTCTAATCTTTTGTTTGTGTTTCAAATTTTTTTTTTCAATAATCTTTTAAAATCCCGTCTTGTTTAACAGGAAGAAGGAGTTGCTATAACTGCTAATTCCCTTCATCCTGGATCAATTGCTACCAATCTTCTACGCCACCACAGTTATATTAATGGTAAACTTTTGAACCATTGACAAATATTCGTTCTTCTTGATCATGTAGTTGGATTTTTTGGTCTATTGACAAAGATGCTGATTGTGTTTTGGATAAGGTGATTAAGTTCATGCATTCTAAGTTGAGTAATATTCAGATATTCATTATGTTTTCACAACCCTCTCGCCTTGCCCGTTCCTTTTTTAAATTTCACCGTTTCCTGTATTTGTGTGGATTCGTGTCTTGATATTTATTGTTTTGGTTTAATGCAGTCATTGCCAGCACGCTCGGTAGATTGATGCTTAAAAATGTTCAGCAGGTATGTTACTAATCTGATACACTCAGCAAACTCATATTTTGATGTCTATCTCCCAATCCTATTAAGATATGCTCAAGCAGCTTCACTGCATGTTAGTTGTCTTTTTAATATACTTCACATAACTGCAGGGAGCAGCAACTGAATGCTACGTGGCATTGCATCCGCAAGTTAAGGGTGTCAGCGGCGAGTATTTTATGGACAGCAACAAAGCCAATCCAACCTCTCAGGCTAAAGATCCAGAACTGGCAAAGAAGCTATGGGATTTCAGTTTGAGCCTGACGGATCCAAAGTAACCAGGAACAAAACTCTGTTGTAAATTGCAAGTCAATGTCAATGTCCCTTTTACCAAGTTTGAGACTTGAGTAGAAGCTTAGACGTTGAATGACCATGTAAAACATATATTGGCTATGTCAGGGGACTTATCCTTGGCCCTTCCTAAAATTATGAACTTTTTTTTTCTATTAAGACGTTGAATGACCATGTAAAACATATATAGGCTATGTCAGGAGACTTATCCTTGGCCCTTCCTAAAATTATGAACTTTTTTTTTGTTTTTTTGGGTTTCTACAATGAAAAACATGGGTTATGTTTCTTATATTTGTCATGAATGTATATGGTTTATCAACTATTTCCAAAGCACTTCAATCCAAAGGACTCTGTTCCACATATATACATATAAGAGCAACATCACAAACGTCATTGTGATTACAAATCACCATTTTAAAAGAGCCATTGCTTTGTCTTTTCCTCTGATTTTGGTGTGTGTTGTAAATTAGAGGAGCAACATGACAAGCATTATTGCTAATTACAATTCCCAGAAATGTTGCCACGTAAGACAGGACCAGCAGCAATCAAAACAGTAGGCCTTGTGTTGTATGCGGAGCAATGTATTCAAATTGCATTTGATAGATGGTCTCTGTCCTGTAACTTGTGACTTCATTATCTGCAAAATTAAGGGGTGGGATATTTAGCAAGAAAGGAGCATCTGGGTTCTCTGCTTCTTCCACAGCAGAGGAAGTCGCTGAAGGGATTGATGCAACTGGTCTTACCGCCATTGTTACAGGTCATGCTCTATTTTAAGCTTCCTATAGGATACATATAACAATATGGTCTTAGCTGCTCTCCAGCCTATTTGACATCTAACATGTCAATGAGTCTTTCTCTGTGTCTTCCAAAGTAAGGTCGTAAATTTTTTATTTTTTATCATAAACTTTGTTTAATTTCAGGAGCTGCAAGTGGTATTGACGTAGAGACATCACGTGTTCTTGCGTTGCATGGTGTCCATGTGGTTATGGCAGTAAGAAACAAGGATGCTGGGACGAACGTCAAAGAAGCAATTCTTAAAGAAATCCCAAGGCTAAAATTGATGTCATGGAGTTAGACCTCAGCTCATTGGCATCTGTAAGAAAATTTGCAGCAGATTTTAAATACTTGGACCTTCTATTGAACATACTTATGTAAGATAAGAAAATTCTTAAATTCCCTTCTTTCTTGGGTTGTATGTGCTTACGGTTTTCTCATGGAAATTAAGAAAATGACAGCTCTCTCAGCACCATACACGCACTCATTTGTAGTATTGCACTCTCTTCTTTGTTGGAAGTAACAATGCAGGCATTATGGCAACTCCATTCAAGCTTTCTCAAGACAACATAGAGCTCCATTTTGCAACTAACCATTTAGGTGTGTCTGCCTAAAATTTTCTTTGAAGTCTGTCCTGTAGTATAATGGATTCAGTTTTCTACGAGTCGCTTTTGTCGAGTTATTAACTTTTACTCGAACCATCCAATGTGCAGGTCATTTTCTCCTCACAGATCTTTTGTTGGAGACCATGAAAAGCACATCGCGAGAAAGGAAAACAGAGGAGAGAATTGTTAATGTATCATCACTAGGCCATCGATATGGGTACCGTGAAGGGTTTTGTTTTGATAAAATTAATGATGAATCAAGGTAAAACTGTGGCAGCACCCTTTTGAAAAATCGTCTTTAGGCTAATGAGGTGTTTGTGTATATTAACACATGATCAACAATCTGCCGTTTTTACTTGCTATACAGATACCACAGATATTATGCTTATGGACAGTCCAAGCTTGCTAACATATTGCATGCTAATGAACTTACAAGACGTCTGAAGGTATTGAGTTTCTTAAGGTCATCAACGATTTCCCCTTCTTGGTTGGCATCGTAACTTATTTTCGGAATGTTAACTAAACAGGAAGAAGGGGCAGAGGTAACAGCTAATTCTCTCCATCCGGGAACAATTCTCACAAATCTTATGCGCTATGATGGCTTTTTAAAGTGTAAGCTGCATCTGCTGTACCACATGGATACATCTCCTTTCATGTTGTTGACAGTGCAGCAGTATTCTCTGGTTTTCCACTGTCAACTCACATTTTCTTTGGCTTGACACAGGTATTCTTAAGGTGCTGGGCATATTTATCTCTAAAACTGTTCAGCAGGTACATCTTTATGTTCCACAAGAGATGATATTTCTCTTTCGTTTGATACAAAATCTTTTTTGGGCATTCACTAATTATGTCATTGAACATGGTCATGCAGGGTGCGGCAACCACATGCTTTGTGGCACTCCATCCACAGCTTAAAGGAGTAGGCGGCAAATACTTCGTGGACTGTAACATCGCCAAACCGAGCTCTCAGGCAAAAGACGCAGATTTGGCAACCAGACTATGGGATTTTAGTTTGAGTTTGACAAATGCCAAGTAGTATGGTGCTCTTTTATGCACTGTTCGTTAGGATCAAATTGCCAAACTGCAAACTGTAATCACATACTGGATTATAATAACGTTGAGATTTACCCATTTTGTCATTTAAAGCTAGTTGGACTAGAGACTGGTTCATACCGACAACATTATCAGGAACTATATATAAAAGTAGTATTATTATCAACATATTCGTCAAAATGAGGAATTAGGATAAACGAGTATAGCCGCCCGGCTATACTATTTATATATTAAAAAACCAGCCTAGGGCCCAGGGGCCAAGTGTCAAAACCGTAAAGCAGCGCGGCTATACTATTTTTTAAGAAAAAATTTAAGGAAAAACGAGTATAGCCGCGCTGGTGTACAATTTTAAAAAAAAATAGGAAATAACTAAGTATAGCCGGCCGGCTATACTATTTTTTGAAGGATACATGCTAACCGATACTCGTGATTACAATTCTAGTAAATTATCAAGATGGATTTTGGAGGACAGTTACTTGATGAAGGCAGAGGAATGCTTGAGAAGGGATTGGGATATAGTTTTCTCATTACCTGCATCCAAGTAGTGAGAAGAAGCTGGTGGAGACAGTGAAGTATTGGTTGTGGGTGGTGCATGGAACTCAGCTAATAGAAAAGAAGCATTCTGAATCTGGATCCGGTGCTTGGCTTACGATTGATAATGTAAAGGAGGAGCTTGCTAGGAAATTTATTAGTGCTTCTGCTTAAGATTGAAACTTGGTCCAGCAGGCAGAAGATGATGCAATGCAGGAATGAAATCAATAATGTCTGTCGTTTTATTAGTGTTCTAATTTCAAATAATGTCTTGGTATTTGTAATTTCTATCTGTTTCGCAAAAGAAAAAGTTACTCTAAATTTTTTCCTTTTTTTGGGGGTCAAATTTAACCACTACAGAAGTAGTATTATCAAACAAGTGAGTCTAGTATTATTGTTACCAAAACAACCTGTGGACAAAACTTCTGACTTGGCACTTGGTCAACAACAATGTGTTCCAAACGACATCGTTGTGTATAAGTAACATCAGAAACGTCATTACTTACTATAATCCCAAAAGTCTTTCATGTTTTGGTCATGTGATCCCTCAAGTCAATTGGTATCTATAATGCATCATTGGTGGGGCACCCCAAGCATAGCCTTTTCCTCACATTGCCTATATTTTAATCAGAGAAATCCTATGTTATGTTGCTTTTGTTAGCATTCTTTGTAACTTCACATTATCATCTGCAACTTTCATGGGGATTTTTATCAAGAAACAACAATCTGGGTTCTCTGCCTCTTCAACAGCAGAGGAAGTTACTGAAGGGATTGATGGAACTGGTCTTACTGCAATTGTTACAGGTCATCATGCTCTATTTTTTAAGCTTCATATATGAAATATTTTTTTTATAAAAATCTGATAAAGTATTTTCCAATGTAAAAATGGAAAAATGATTTAGAAGATTAGTGATCTGGACTAGCTTTTAGTAATTCTTTGATACATACATACTCTTGTATTTTTAATTTTATATTCAAGTACTTTTCTTAGTTTCTTGGATGATCATTTATCATTCCAAATCTAAATGAAATTAAGCTGTTGACCAAGAAAACATGCATGAAACTAAGATGGCTTCTTCTATAAGTTCTCTTCTATGATATAAGATCTCTATTATTTCTCATATATGTACAGCAAGTACAGCAAGACCCTTCAGTTTTGTTTCTTAATTTTCATGTCAATGAGCCTTCCTCTGTGTGTTTCTCAAGGTAAGGTTGTTCAATTTCAGGAGCCTCCAGTGGTATTGGTGTAGAGACAGCGCGTGTTCTTGCATTGCGCGGTGTCCATGTAGTTATGGCAGTAAGGAACACCGATGCTGGGGCGAATGTCAAAGAAGTAATCCTTAAAGAAATTCCCAATGCTAGAATTGATGTCAGGGAGTTAGACCTCAGCTCATTCACATCTGTAAGAAAATTTGCAGCAGATTATCGTTCCTTAGGCCTTCCATTGAACATCCTTATGTAAGATAAGCAAATGCCAGTTTCCTTCTGTTTGTTGTGTGTGGTTTGTTACATATTTACTCTATTATATGAAGCTAATATGTCTTTATTTCATACTATGGCAATAAGAAGTAATACAATCTCTTCTTTGTTGGAAGTAACAATGCAGGGGTAGGAGTGACACCTTTCAAACTTTCTCAAGACAGTATAGAACTCCAGTTCGCAACGAATCATTTAGGTTTGTTACCTAAAAATTGCTTTGAACTGTAGCCTGCCTACTGATCAGTTTCATACAAGTTTCTTTTACCAATCTATTTGTTTCTTGAACCATAAAATGTGCAGGTCATTTTCTTCTCACAAATCTTTTGTTGGAGACCATGAAAAGCACATCACGAGAAAGCAACACAGAGGGGAGAATCGTGAACGTATCATCACTGAGCCATCATTACGGATACCGTGAAGGAATTCGTTTTGATAAACTTAATGATGAACCCACGTAAATCTTCTGCAGGATATGCAGATTATATATGTTCATACCTGTTTTTTAACATTTTGAGTTCTGTTTGGTTTGGATAAATATATGTCAACAATCTGACCCTTTTACTTGCTAATTTACAGATACAGCAGGCATTCTGCTTATGCACAATCCAAGCTTGCTAACATATTGCATGCTAATGAGCTTACAAGACGTCTGAAGGTATTGAGTTTCTTAAGGTCATCAATGATTTCCCCTTCTTGGTTGACATCGTAACTTATTTTGGAACGTGAACTAAACAGGAAGAAGGGGCAGAGGTAACAGCTAATTCTCTCCATCCAGGAACAATTCTCACGAATCTTTTGCGCTATGATGCCTTTTTAAAGTGTAAGCTTCATCTGCTGTACCACTTGGATACATTTGTTGACAGTGCAGCAGTATTTCTCTGGTTTTCCACAGATCAACTCACATTTTCTTTGGCTTGACGCAGGTATTCTTAAGGTGCTGGGCATATTTATCTCTAAAACTGTTCAGCAGGTACATCTTTATGTTCCACAAGAGATGATATTTCTCTTTCGTTTGATACAGAATCTTTTTTGGGCATTCACTAATTATGTCATTGAACATGGTCATGCAGGGTGCGGCAACCACATGCTTTGTGGCACTCCATCCACAACTTAAGGGAGTAGGCGGCGAATACTTTGTGGACTGTAACATCGCCAAACCGAGCTCTCAGGCAAAAGATGCAGATTTGGCAACCAGACTCTGGGACTTTAGCTTGAGTTTGACAAATGCCAAGTAGTATGGTGTTCTAATATTTTCTGGGTCATGTTGTAGCTGCCTTTTTTCTGCACTGAAATCAAATTGCAGAACTGCAAACTGTAATCACATACTGGATTATAATAACGTTGAGATTTACCCATTTTGTCTTCAACTATAACTCCTATGCCCTCTCCACTCGTAACCCTTTTGGCAAACTTGTCATCCAATCCAAGTACTGCAGAACATGTTCGATGACTGAATTTTTCGGCATCAGTAGCCTTGAGCAGTTTCTAAGGTCGCTTACTGTCAGCTTCTTCCTGCAGTTTCCAAGGCCCCTGATCCTGAGGCTGTGGACTCAGCGTAGTTTCCGGCACAACTTGGTTTCTTTTCTTTTTGTTTAATTCCTTGTTCATATGATTCGTACTCGATATTTTCTTGTGTTTTGGATTAGGAGGGAATGCAGAAAATTTGAGAGGAGCAGGGTCTAATTCCTCTGCTTTTCTCTGGTTTGTGTTGTAATTCCAAGTTGGATCACACAAAGTGAGAGCAGTGGAAACTTGGCCTGGTAGTGGGCAATGGTTTGCACTGGTACTAGCTTCTTCCTCCATTTTTAATGTTGAAATTAAGAGAAGAAAATAAATCAAACTACAAAACAATCAATTGATGAATTCTAGTGTTGGGTTGGGGGAGAAACGGGCTTCAATGCTTGGAATGAAATTGCCAATAAGAGCAAGATGTGTGGGTATTATTTATAAGTACATTTTGTTAGTAAGATGCTTATAGTGTGGTTTCTTGGTGGTAAAGTAATTTTATGGGTTCAAATTTACATTGAGCTGTTGTGAGTGTCGTGCTTGATCATTAAGGGTTTGTTTGGACGAGGGACTTGGACATGCGACTTGGGCTTTCATGGAATTTACAAATTCATATGCCCCATTGGGCAAGCCCGAAGAAAAGAACCAGAGAAGTTGAATTTCCCTAGGTTTTCATTATCTTGTTTGTATCAATCAGTTAGTTGAATTACAATCACGCACAGGTTTGTTATTTGTAATGCTGGGAATTCGCTTATTCTTGCAGCTTGAGGATTCATTAGTGAACGAAGCAGCCCTTTCATGCTTGCTTGGATTTTGTTATTTAGTGTGGGCATAACAATGGAGGTTCAGAGAAGAAAGGGAAGAGGTTCTACTATGATGCCTGCCACTCCCTGGCACCTCAACTACGGAGGTTCAGAGGTTTAGAGAAAGGGACTCCTTGGCACCTCAAAACTACTCTGATAGTAGATAAACTAAAATGGGGGAAAAATATAAAGTGTATAGCCGCACGGCTATACTATTATAAAAAACAAAATAGTATGGCCGTTCGGCTATACGATGTTTTAAAACAATTAGGAGCAACGAGCATAGCCGCCCGGCTATACTAGTTTTAAAAAAAAAGGAAAATCAGGTATAGCCGCGCGGCTAACCTATTTTTAAAAACACAAAAGGACGCGCCACATGTAAAATAAGTAGAGCTTAGGAAAAACGAGTATAGCCGTGCGGCGATACTATTTATATATATTAAAAAAAGACCGGCCTAGCGCCTAAGCGCCAAGTGTAAACAAGTAAAGCCTCGCGGCTATACGGTTTTTTAAATTACGAAAAACCCGATTATAGCCGTTCAGCTGTACGATTTTTTTTTTTAATTTAAAAAAATAAATAAATAAATAAATCTTCTGGGGCAAAAGAAAAGTTACTCTAAATTTTTTACTTTATTTGTTGTCAAATTTAACCACTATAGAAGTAGTATTATTGTTACCAAAACAACCTGTTGACAAAACTTCTGATTTGGCATTTGGTCAACAGCAATGTGTTCCAAACGACATCGTTGTATATAAGATTAACATCAGAAACGTCATTACTTGCTATAATCCCAAAAGTTTTGGTCATCTGATCCCTCAGGTCAATTGGTATCTATAATGCATCGTTGGTGGGGCACCCCAAGCATAGCCTTTTCCTCACATTGCCTATATTTTAATAAGAGAAATCCCATGTTATGTTGCTTTTGTTAGCATTCTTTGTAACTTCACATTATCATCTGCAACTTTCATGGGGATTTTTATCAAGAAACAACAATCTGGGTTCTCTGCCTCTTCAACAGCAGAGGAAGTTACTGAAGGGATTGATGGAACTGGTCTTACTGCAATTGTTACAGGTCATCATGCTCTATTTTTTAAGCTTCATATATGAAATATTTTTTTTTATAAAAATCTGATAAAGGATTTTCCAATGTAAAAATGGAAAAATGATTTAGAAGATTAGTGATCTGGACTAGCTTTTAGTAATTCTTGATACATACATACTCTTGTATTTTTAATTTTATATTCAAGTACTTTTCTTAGTTTCTTGGATGATCATTTATCATTCCAAATCTAAATGAAATTAAGCTGTTGACCGAGAAAACATGCATGAAACTAAGATGGCTTCTTCTATAAGTTCTCTTCTATGATATAAGATCTCTATTATTCTCATATATGTACAGCAAGTACAGCAAGACCCTTCAGTTTTGTTTCTTAATTTTCATGTCAATGAGCCTTCCTCTGTGTGTTTCTCAAGGTAAGGTTGTTCAATTTCAGGAGCCTCCAGTGGTATTGGTGTAGAGACAGCGCGTGTTCTTGCATTGCGCGGTGTCCATGTAGTTATGGCAGTAAGGAACACCGATGCTGGGGTGAATGTCAAAGAAGTAATCCTTAAAGAAATTCCCAATGCTAGAATTGATGTCAGGGAGTTAGACCTCAGCTCATTCACATCTGTAAGAAAATTTGCAGCAGATTATCGTTCCTTAGGCCTTCCATTGAACATCCTTATGTAAGATAAGCAAATGCCAGTTTCCTTCTGTTTGTTGTGTGTGGTTTGTTACATATTTACTTTATTATATGAAGCTAATATGTCTTTATTTCATACTATGGCAATAAGAAGTAATACAATCTCTTCTTTGTTGGAAGTAACAATGCAGGGGTAGGAGTGACACCTTTCAAACTTTCTCAAGACAGTATAGAACTCCAGTTCGCAACGAATCATTTAGGTTTGTTACCTAAAAATTGCTTTGAACTGTAGCCTGCCTACTGATCAGTTTCATACAAGTTTCTTTTACCAATCTATTTGTTTCTTGAACCATAAAATGTGCAGGTCATTTTCTTCTCACAAATCTTTTGCTGGAGACCATGAAAAGCACATCACGAGAAAGCAACACAGAGGGGAGAATCGTGAACGTATCATCACTGAGCCATCATTACGGATACCGTGAAGGAATTCGTTTTGATAAACTTAATGATGAACCCACGTAAATCTTCTGCAGGATATGCAGATTATATATGTTCATACCTGTTTTTAACATTTTGAGATGTCTGTTTGGATAAATATTTGTCAACAATCTGACCCTTTTACTTGCTAATATACAGATACAACAGGCATTGTGCTTATGCACAATCCAAACTTGCCAACATCCTACATGCTAACGAGCTTTCCCGGTGTCTGAAGGTATTGAACATTTTAAGGACATCCCATCATTTATGCCAAATTTCTATGGAAATATATTGCATGTATCCATATCTTCTTGGTTGACTTGGTAACTTATTTTTGAAACATCAACTAAACAGGAAGAAGGGGTAGAGATAACGGCTAATTCTGTTCATCCCGGAGCAATTCTCACGAATATTACCCGCCATGATAGCTTCCTACGGTGTAAGCTTCATCTTCTCTACTTTACCAGTGAAAATTATTTCTACTGTAAAATCCCCTGCAGTCAAGGCTAAATGCATCACTTTTCATATTAGCTCATAATCAAAGTTCTTGACGCTGAGTATTTGTCTGATTTTTCACTGATAAACTCACTTTTTTCATTGGCCGACAGGTGTTTTTACTGTGGTGTGTTTGTTTATCTCTAAAACTGTTCAGCAGGTACTTCTTGACCTTCCGCAACATATTAAATCATATGATTTTATTTGATTTTCTAGATAGAGAATCTTGTGTTTGTACTATATATTCACATTGTACAGCAGCTGCCCTTGAACTATCTCAATGAACATGGTCATGCAGGGTGCGGCAACCACATGCTTTGTGGCACTCAATCCACAAGTTAAGGGAGTAGGCGGCGAATACTTTTCGGACTGTAAGATTGCCAAACGGAGCTCTCAGGCAAAAGATGCGGATATGGCTAGGAGACTTTGGGATTGTAGCTTGAGTTTGACCAATCCCAAGAAGTAGGATGTTTTAATATTTGCTGGTTGCACTGTTCGTTATGAAATCAAACCTCCAAATCTCAAACTGTAACCAAATGCTGAACTCAGACTATAAAAAGTTCCCATTTGTTCCTTATTTGTAATTTAAGACCAGTCTAGAAACTGGAGCACATAGACAACATTAATGGAACTACAAAGTAAACAGCTTTCAACATGGTCAAGAAGCAATATGTGGTTTATGGTTTAAGATGTTTAACACGATCTATTTATTAAAATGTTGTCAAATTCCCTATAGCTTAAAAGCAGGGACTCGACTTATTACTTGGACAACAGTTAACATATTGTGTCTCACAAATCCTATCTAGAGGGATGAGACTCGTAAGAACTGACTTGGACTCGATAGAGCTGCAAATTTGAACACATATTTGCTCATGGACAATAAAAAATAGCCAACATATTGCATTCTAGTATGAGAGCCGCATCAAACGACATTGCTGATTACAATCCCAAACAAAATTGCCACGTAGGGGGGATACAAGGGCCAACAGCAAGCAAACAGTTGTCAACTTGGTATCTATCATCAATGGGGCACCTCTAGCATAGCCTTGTCTTGACATTGGCTGTTACTCTCGTTTGCCAACATTTTAAGAAAAGGACTACAATGTTTTGGACCACAAAGAAAAAAAAAAAAAAAAAAAAAATATATATATATATATAAATAAATAAAAAATTATTTTCGCTAGTTTTGATAGCATTTTCTTTGTTTTGTAACTTGCAAGTTCATTATCATCCGCGGAATTAATGGGGATATTTAGCAGGAAAGGACCTTCTGGGTTTTCTCCCTCTTCTACAGCAGAGGAAGTACTGAAGGGATTGATGGAACTGGTCTGACTGCCATTGTTACAGGTCAAGCTCTATTTTAAGCTTCATATATGTGATAAAATTTTCTCTTACTGCATTGTCAGGTATTTCAGTTTTTTTTTAAATTTGTTTATGTGATAAATTATAGGATTTAATATGATTTAGCATGTCACTGGAGCAACTTCCCAGGTAAACATGGGAAAAAACTCTTGTTAGTTTCTTGGATGATCATATGTTACTCTGAGGCCAAATCAGATTAAGATGGTTTCTTTCATAAGCTCTTCTGAATTACATGGAGATGTAGCTTTTTAGCCTTTGGATTTGGACATCTCCATTGTTTACATGTGAATGAGCCTTCCTCTGTGTTTCTCAAAGCAATGTTTTCAAACATTTCTGTGTAAAAACTTTGTTTAATTTCAGGAGCCTCAAGTGGTATCGGTGCAGAGACATCACGTGTTCTTGCGTTGCGTGGTGTTCATGTTGTTATGGCAATAAGGAGCATGGATGCTGGGGCCAAAGTCAAAGAAGCAATCCTTGAAGAAATCTCCAACGCTAAGATTGATGTCATGGAGTTGGACCTGAGCTTGTTGGCATCTGTAAGAAAATTTGCAGCAGATTATAACTCCTCCGGCCTTCCATTGAACATTCTTATGTGAGATCAGCAATTTGCATTTTTATTACTGGCTATGCTTCTGGTTTCTAATTATTTTCCTCAATTTACCCCTTTTGTCAAACGTGGCCTTATTGTCCTAGATTGGATTGGATCGTGTTTGTACTTTCCAAAGTCATACAAAGCTTAAGTTGTCATAAATGCTCTGCATAATACAGTACAGTCCAGTACCCTGCAGCACAGCATATCAGATGAGCCCAAAGTGGAGAATCAAACTTGTCCCACCCCGCAAGTTAACACGATAAGTGATAAGTGGAGATAGGGGACGGTTTCAAACAGACCATCTCTAACACCAGAGTTCTTGTACCATGTTAGACAACCACCGGACCTCAAAAGCTTACGCTGCTACAAAATTAGATCTAACATATTTTTGTCAAGCTGACATGCATTTGAAAGCTCATACAGCCATAATTCACACTTGATTATTATATATATTATGACAATAAGAAGTAAGACACTCTCTTGTTTGTTGGAAGTAACAATGCAGGGGTAGGAGCATCTCCATTCAAGCTTTCTCAAGACAGCATAGAGCTGCTGTTTGCAACCAACCATTTAGGTTTGAAACCTAACAATTTTTTTGAAGTCTAAACTATCAGAAAAGAGATCAGTTTTTCACAAGTTGCTTTTGTCAATTCATTTGTTACTTATACTATCCAATGTGCAGGCCATTTTCTTCTCACCAATCTTCTGTTGGAGACCATGAAAAGCACATCGCGAGAAAGCAACATAGAGGGGAGAATTGTTAATGTATCATCACTACTTCATCCATATGGTTACCGTGAAGGAATTCGTTTCGATAAAATCAATGATGAATCAGGGTAAATCTTCTTTAGGTATACTGATTTAATGTGTTAGGTGTCTGTTTAGGGTAAATATGTCAACAAATCTGCCCCTTTTGCTTGCTATTTTCCAGGTACAACAGATACTACAATTATGCGCAATCCAAGCTTGCTAACATCCTACATGCCAATGAGCTTACAAGGCGTCTCAAGGTATTGAACGTTTTAATATACACTTTCAGATTTGATATGCATTTCTTGGTTGGCTTGGTAACTTATGTTTGAAATTTCAACTGAACAGGAAGAAGGGGTAGAGATAACAGCTAATTCTCTACATCCTGGAGCAATAGGAACGAATATTACGCGCCATGATAGCTTTTTACAATGTATGCTTCATCTTCTGTGCTTTACCAGCGTCATTTTTATAATAGGAAAGTTCCCTTCAGTGAAAACTATGGTCATCTTTTCATATCAGCTCATAAAAAAAGCTCATGGCACTGATTATTTGTCTGGTTTTCAACTTAACAACTCACATTTTCACTGGACTGGCTTCACACAGGTATCTTCAGTGTGCTGGGTATATTTTTCTCTAAAACTATCCAACAGGTACTTCCACCTTTCACAATATATGCAGCGTATGATTTTTTTTTGGCACTAAATACTAATGCTACATGGACCGTGTTTGTGAATCTCACTCTATCAGAGATGTGGTCTACAATTTGATCAAATCATTTTAATTTATAAAAACATGGTCCTGCAGGGAGCGGCAACAACATGCTTTGCAGCACTCCATCCACAAGTTAAGGGAGTAGGCGGCGTATACTTTTCAGACTGTAACATTGCCAAACCGAGCTCTCAGGCAAAAGACGTAGATTTGGCTACCAGGCTCTGGGATTTTAGCTTGAGTTTGACCGATGCCAAGTAGTAGGGCATTTTAATCCTTGCTGGTTAATGTTGTGGTTCTTCTGCACTGTTCGTTATGAAATCAATTGCCAACTTGCAAACTATAATCAAATGCTGGCCTCAAACTACTTCACATTTGTACCATATTTGTAATTTATGATCTTGAATCTAGGGATTGTTTTGAGTCCTTATGGCATTCTAAAGGGGTTTCTAAAAATACCCGATTTGAACTATCTTTATAAAAACATTATATCCAAGGACCTTACTGAAATTTTTGCTTATTCTTCATCAATAGTCAATAAATTATGTCATCAGCAGAAGATATCCAAAGAGAGAGATACAGGAGGAATTAGATTTCTTCTATTTGATGCAAGTAAATTCAGATACAACAGTATAAGGCCGCACAGCCCATCCCATCTTAAGAACCGGACTGAGGTGCCAATGCCATAAACTGATACAGATTCAACAACAATCTTCACAAAATCTCAACTCCAATTTAATTCCCAACCCCCACTGTACAATAATTTGTGCCATCTCAACCACCCTCTTTCCTCCCGGAAAAACAAAATAACCAAAAAATGGTCGAGTTCAAATACGGCATCTGAGAGCCTCTTTCCTTTTTTCTTTTTCTTTTTCCCCAAGGAGCAACAAAATGTACACTTTTTTTACAGCAGCAGAAATGTTATCTTTACAAGGAATTAACAAAAGCTGGATCTCCAATGACCGCCTTCGACTCCCGCAAAGGGAAGACTTCAACGGTTCAACCACTACCATAGGACAATATAGCTTAAGAAGCCTCTTCTGCCAAAGTACTGCTTACCACTGGAACATGACTGAGCATTGAGGCCTTTCATATCATGTTTCTCTTCTGGCAATCAGGGTATCAGAAGATCCAAAAGCATCATTTGTCAAGTTGCTGATTCTTACAGTACAAAATGGACTTTTCAGCAATGCCAATACGCCAGAGATCATGCACCCATTCTATATAACTGCTTTGATAAACCACTAGCGAAGATTAAGGTCCATGGAAGGATTCAGCTTTAAATGATCCCTTAAGAGCTGTTGAGACACACGATCAGCCAAAATCGACTGCACATCAAATAACTCCTGGGGGTCCCTGGGAACAGGATTCCCTATCTGGTCTCCCGGTGCACCATTATCAGATGAAATTATATCCAAGAAAGCATGAGAGGCTTGTGGAATCCCTCGAAATAGGTCTGGCGTTGGCTCATGGTATGGAATGGTGCCATTTGTATAGAAACTACGGTTCTGAGATCTCTGGCTCTTCCCCATGCCTTCATGTAAGTAGGTTGTTGGCTGCTTCAAGTGTTGAGAAGGAATTGCACCGCTGCCACCAGTGAGAGGTGTAGATGAGCCGGATGTGGTACGAGGGCTAGATATGGGAGAGGGAGACATCCTTCCGCTGAAATGTTGTGGTGATCTAGAATGTAGAAGTGGACTTCCAATAGGAGAAACAGGGCATGATACGTTTCTTGGTGTATGGGCATCACTGAAAACCAGAAAGGAAAGGGAAAGTTTAAAATTTTAATGGAACATTGAGAAATGACTAGTAGACAAATCAGTCCTCATATCCTGAGGTGGCATTAATATCAACTAACGAGTTTCCTAACATTTACTTCTGTATGGGCTGTGATGGTATTGTCATTGCCCTTCTTTAGATGAAGGGTTTAAGCATATATTGAGCATTCTTTAATTCAAAAGTACAAAATTCCTGTGTTTAATAAGCTTAACTGCTATTCTGTGGGTAAATGAGTTGGAAGCAACATCAAGATAAAAACCAGGTATTCATAATAACATGATGCTTTGGCCATCAATTTTAACCACTTATCTACACATAACAAAAATGTAACTGAGAGAGGAGAAGGAAGATATACCTTGATGCCGAGGCAGTTTTTGAGCCTCTGGACTGATGGATGCCCATCCCTTCCGAGTCCAAGTTAGAATGATTTCTCCCGTGTCCAAAGGCCTAAAAGAATGTTTTAAAAAGGAAAAGAATGAAAGCTGCAACTGATAAAGCAGACAAAAGATGAACTTTTTAATGTTCTACCCCAAATATGCCAGCATAAATTGACATAAAATATTAGGCCCCAAATAGCATAGCTGGTTGTCCACATGAATACACGGAACCATAATTTCTGTTTCCCACAGCATATCCAACATATGGAGATAAAAAAACGTGTTATTTTTGTGTAGATTTTAAGATCCGGAAAAGCCTTTTCATGTCCAGTGTCAGCAGAGCATGTTTATATTTATACGATGTACAATCACAGAAGAACAATATGAAGGGATGGGAAACATTGTGAATCTTGTTAGTTACATACAAATACAGCAATTACATAAAGCCATAAAATTCTCATGATATTAAAGCCCTTGTCTTTTAGATGCCTATCATGAGGTATTCTATACATAGTATTAAAAGTGAAAACTTAATATCTGGTTGCCATAAATTCAACAAATCTGAAAAATAGTAAATGCAATAGTCACATATATGCAGTTTAATGGCAAAGAAATCGAATTTGTTGGGGCGATTGGTTTAGGGTTTATACCATAGATCTAACTGCAGGAGGTCCTTCGGAAGGCTCTGCACTCAAAATGGTTCTTTCCAATGGAGCAACATTTTTAACAAAAGGATGATCCAAAAGCTGAGCAGCTGTAGGACGATTCAGTGGGTTACGTTGCAAACACAGCCTAATAAAGTCCTTCCCATCATCTGACAGATGATCAGGAATTCCAGGAAGTTCCTTACTGTTTCCAATCTTAAACATAGCAGCAACCTTTGAAGCACAAACACAAGAACCAGGTCAAGGAATTTTTGTCATGCAAGAACTGTCAATGAGAAATGTATAGCATTAGACTATTTTGTAATACTCCAGTCTATGAATCCAAATTTTACTAACCCCTTCATATTGACTCCAAGGTGGTTTCGTCGTGGCCATCTCAAGAACAGTGCAACCAAGGCTCCATACATCAACCGCAAGATTACAACCGTTCGAATTCTTGATAACCTAAACAGTTGAGTAAATAATGTTACCACAAAGCCAGAAAAAAAATTGTGATGCAAGAGTGGAAAAAAGAACCATCCTGACCTCGGGTGCCATCCAATATGGGCTTCCCTTGAATGACAATGGACAAGACTGCCCAGTTATCTACAATTATTCAGATAAGATTAATTAGAACACTCAGATTCAAGGTTAACAGGGAAAAAAAAACATTAAACAACTTGGAGCAATTTAGCCGTTTTTTTTTAAATGTTGTCTCGTGTTCTATTAAAAGGTAGAAAATGGTGTTACAACAAAATGAGTACTTAACAAGCATATTTTCACTCTCATAACACACTGGCTTATAGGATCTCTTACAATGCTACCTATCAGCATCGAGGTTTCATGCTAACTGGACAATCAAAAGAAATGATTGAATGGTAATTACGCTAAAAACTTGCAAATGAATGATCTTACATGCTTAGCCATCCCAAAATCTGCCAATTTTACCCGACCATTGGGATCTACTAATATATTTGCTCCTTTGATATCCCTGCACATAATAAGCTTATCATTAGTTCAAATGACATTCCTAAACAATCAAACTTGACATTCCTAAATGATTAAAACACATGGCCCATAAGATTAATAAAGTTTCAATAATAATGTGACTGACCGGTGGACAGTGTTTTTGGCATGTAAGTATGCAAGCCCTGACAAGATTTGTTGAGTATAACTACGAATAGCAATTTCACCAAACTGACCATACTCTTGAAGCAGTTTATAAATGGATCCACCAGACATATACTCCAAGTATATGTAAAGTTTGTCATCTACCTGCTCAGGCATACACCACCACATGTCAACAACAGGAATAACACACTTATTTAAGAATAGTTACTATCAAACGTGTAAACAGCCAATCTTGACTGACCTAGGCACCAAAACCTTTTTAGATATTACACAGTAATAAGAGGGACTTACTGTCTCAGATCCATAATACTGCACTATATTTGGATGCCGTAAGCGACTTAGCAAAGCAATTTCCTACAAAACACAATGCATAAGTATATGCCACGTGAATTGTAAAAAAGAAGAATTGTGCTTTCAATAAAGGAACACAAAAAATATGTAAAGCTTGTATTGAAAAGTTTACTAAGAAATATTCTATTCTTTGCACCACTGGAATTTCTAACAGATCTACTGAGTCACTGACTAGCAAATAGAACTTACTTGCCCCAGTTGCTGTGCACTTTCCTTTGATTTTGCATCATCTGCAAACAGAGTTACCTCCTTCATTGCACACATCTCACCGCTTTCACTGAAGAGCAAAAATTGAATCAAACCAGACATTCAAAAATTCCAAAGAAGTTGTGCAGTACTTCTAACGACAACAAAAGTGGACTATAACAAATCATAATTTTAAGTTCAGAAACACTGTCTGCTTAATATTCGATAAGCACAGGAAAATTGTAATTTTGAAATGCTGATACTTGAAAATTGCAATCTGTCACATGTAGCTTACACTCTGCTAAATATCATACGTACTGAGAAATTATACAACTGTAAAATTTGCAATCAATTAACAGAGCTGCGTTCGGCTACAAACCTGTTAAAACCAAGATATACATGTCCAAATGTGCCCCTCCCAAGCAGGCGACCCTTCTTCCAACGTGAACCAGGACTTGCTGGATTCTCTGCTCTATTAGGGCTACGTGGAACTGTGGGAGTCGTTGCAGCTGAATATGCAGGAGAAAAAGGACAGGTATTAGTTATTGTTATTGGAGGAAGGGGCAACCGGTGGCTTTTCTGCTTCCCATCATCAGGCCGGTTTGTAGGCGACTCTGCAGCTGGCCCTCCAGCTCGTGGATGCAGAGGGGTAACAGCACCACTTTGTATTCTGGAGCTGGGGCCAGGACTGGTCAATCTAGGACTAGGTATTGGAGAACACTCAGGGCTACACCTATTGTGCTGCCAAAACAACTGTCCTGACAGATCCCCTCCGACGGAATTATGCCCAGAA